ATGGTTCAGATGTTTATTCTTATGGCTATCAGACTATCACTGACTTTAAAAAAAATTAAATACATTTTGTCTTATATATATATATATATATATATATATTAGATTTTGGCTGTTATGTCTGTCGTTTATTTTGTACCTGACACATTTCAGATGTATTACTTTGTTAATACTGACCTATGAATCACCAAAGAATAATACTGAAATTGCAGGGACAAACCGGTGTTGTCTCTACACAACTTAGTCACTTTTTTAGGTATTTTTACAACAGCAAAAAGACAAAATGTAGTTAATTTTTTTAAAAGTCAGTGATAGTCTGATAGCCATAAGAATAAACATCTGAACCATCAGAAAAATTGGCAAAGGCCCATCAGCTGAAAACTCAACATGATGCTTCTAAATCTTATGTCAGCTCTTTGCTAGATTAAAACAAAATAGATTCTTATAGTTACAACTTTCAGCTACTGTTGCTAGCGTTTTAAACCTGACAACACATTTTTCACTTTTTTAAGTTCTCAATCCTGCACTGGCATTGCAATACTAGAATATGCCAAATTTTCTGCTAATTTTTCTTCCAAGGATAAACTTGTTGGTGAAAGAATGTCGTTTTATGCTTGCCAAGTTGCTTTCTTTGGCAGGCAAATAAAGCATTAGGAACATATTTGGTACTGTATTTGCAGCAGGTCGATAATAAAACATTACTATGTAATGATCCAACTTAAAATAGGCTCTTTGATAAGTTGTCTGTTATGTTCAGATGCAACACTGGTTCATCCCTTGAGTTAGTTGAGCTTCGCATAGATTGGTGTTAGGTAGCTTAAGAAAGAATCATACTGGTACACAAGTTTAAAATGATTAAGTACAAGAACAGGACAAAAAATGATGAAGAAAGCAATAATTTATAGTAAAAAACACTTTTGGCTCAGGTCCTCCTGGAATTAATTACACAGAGCCTTACTTTAATGCAACCAAAAGGCAAAGAAATGAGGAGACTTTTCCTCAGGACTGTGCGTATTTACATTCAATCTGTCACTACCAAGGAGCACTGATTTTTACAATTCTACATATTTTATAGGGATTGAACTCTAACTTTGTTTTAAGGTTGTTTATGGAAAAACAAGCAGTAATTTCTGCTGTTTAGCATTAGCCTAAACGATAATGTCAGCAAAAATACCCAGCAGGTGTCCTGATTTCTAGAGAGCATACCTCAGCTTCTCACACAGCCATCTGTCCAGCCCGAGGCTCTAAAACACAAACACTTGCTGTGACGCCCGAGTTACATTTCTGATGAACCACAGATAGCAACAACGCGATGCCTTTAGCGCCGTGTCGTCTTTGGTGTACGTTAGTGTCAAACAAGACGTCAGAGCAGAAGTGACCCAGGTGCTTTGCCGCCTGTTGCACCGTGCACTTATTTTTAGGTTCTTTTTTTTTTTTTTTTCCATAGAGACATGTGAGAAAGTGTTTGTTCTCGGGCTGCTGTCTGGCGTTCCCGTGGCGACCAATTGGGATGCGTAGCTTGGTGGCAGCAGTGTGTAAAAATAGAAAGCAATCAAGGCAGCAGGGCGTGAAGTAAAAAGAGAAAAAAAAATCATAAGACTCCCAACAGCGTTTTCTCTCCATTTATCTATTCTACCTCGTTTTCTTCCTCCCTCGCTCGTTTTTATTCTACCTCACACCCACAGGATTAGAGGTCTGTGCCACGTATTAGGAAAGAAGGTTCTGCTGCTTTTGACAAAAGCCAGAAATAGCAGCATCTGGCCCGCTCTTCTTAGCTGTGCCCCCATCACCGATCCTTCTCCTCTTTCCCACGTCATCGCCTTACGTGTAAAAGTACAAACGGTGAAAAAGAGCCCATTTAATTATTGATTAGTGTTAAATAATTGAATCCTGGTTTACTATTGTGTAACAGAGGGTTTATATAACTTCAGTAGAGCTTTGTGTTCTGGCTTTTAGTGAAGAAAGATCTTTTTTATTTAATTGTGTCGAGGAAACTGGGATTTCAGGTGTTAGACGCTGAAAGTTGCTGTAAATGAGACAGGGAGTTCACAATGACTAGATAAAAACACGCTTCACCACTCAGTTAATTCATATAACTTTTATTTACATCATTCAGATTTAAATTCATGTTTTGACCCAACGTCTACACCGGGGCTATTCAGCTAAAATGCTCAGGGGGGCACAGTTATTGAAAGTCAAGGGCTCAGGGTCCTTCAGTTATTGTCATTAAGTAAGTTTGTTTTATGGTTTAAAATGTAATTTTATTAAAAAATAAATCTATTGGTGGGCCGAAATGAGTACACTCACGGGCCTGATTTGGCCCCCAGACCGCTAGTTGAACTGCCCTGGTCTAGACCATTCCCCCCATTTTTACACAGTATTTACAGTTTCACGTATATGCCAAACATGTTCTAGTTTCAGTGTTTTCTACTTTGTGATATTTTTCTATCAGTTTGTAAAAGGTAACTTTGTGATTTGTGTTTGTGTGTGTGTTTTATTCATACACACGCACACACACGTTCTTGTAAACATACTTTTTGGGGGCTTTGCATTGACTTCCATTTATTTTCTATAGCCTACCCCTGACCCTTACCCTAAACCTAACCATAACATGCCTAACCCTAACCCAGGGCTATTTAACTGGTGGCCAGCGGGTGACTTCAATCCGGCCCAATTCATAAAAAAATAATATTACTTTTTTTTGTGTGTGTGTGTGTGGTGTTTGTGTGTGTGTGGGGGGGGGTTCTGGTGATTGCATTTTGATTCAATGCAATAAAATAAGCAAATTTAAAAGGTAACAGATCTTCTTAAACTTTGGTTTATTTATATAATGATTTAAATCGCTGGATGTCCAGCCCCCGAGTTGTTGGTTTTCAGAAACTGCGCCCCCCTGAGCAGTTTAGTTGAATATCCCTACCCTAACCCATCCGCAATTCACACCTTAGTCCTAAACCTAAAACCCAACCCACCAATGGGACTTCTCCTTATGGGGACTTGGCTTTGGTCCAAGAACAGTTGGTTCCCACAATCGATGATTTTTTTGTAAAATTGGTCCCTATAACGTAACCTGACCCCCCCCCCCCCCAATACACACACACTCATGTACAAATACATAGGTGATTTTTTTTAAAGAAGAGACTAAAATGTCTAAAATTTATTAAGCTTCAAATCTTCTCAATGGATTCTGATTTAAAGACAAATTTGTTCCATTCTATCAAATTGTGTCAGCTGCTTTAACATAAAATGAATATTATGATTTCTGTTCCACAAACATAATGTGGTCCTCATGTGAAATCGACACCATAGCGCATACAGATTAGTACATGTAGACAGCGTTTCTGTTTTTTAAATTTTAGGTAAGATTTTCACGAGATGCTTCTTATCAACTTTCAGTAATAAAACTCAAACATTGGTCAAACAGTTAACATGTGGTTCAAAACTGATTATATTCTCAAAAGTGAGACGATGTTCCAAAATTTACTGAAAGATTTTTAAGTTCATTGTGAAAACCAGATGCAAATTTAGAAATCAACACGTCTTTTTATGAAATATTGCGTTAGCACTGTGTCAGGTCGACTCTCAGGTCTGACTCTTTTGAGCCCAGGCTGTGTGTCAACAGTACACTCAGACTCATGTATTTCTGGTTTGCATTAGGGGGTAGGGGGTGTGGGGAAAGCCTGAAACATCTGCCATGTTTTCATGTTAGTTTAACTGTTGCTACTGTATCAGACTGTGGCCACCAGGGCCGCAGGTAGCGGACCATTCCACTTAGAGCCCGAGCGCTGCTTGATCTAATTTGGTCCAGATGATGTGGAAATGGGCCCGGTCGTGATTCATTCCTTTAATCTGACACCGGCTCAAAATTTATATGCAACTGAAACTAATATTTAATTCTCTTTTTATTTTCTTTAATTTTCTGGTAATATTTTTTTATTTGAGCCACAGGGCTCTAAATAAATGTACTGTTTAAATCTTAGAATGGTCAACGGATGTTCAAAATAATTGTGCAACTGGAAAGTTTTACCTTTTCTAAATAGTTTGGGCTAAAACTTACACAGAAATGTACATTTTGTTTTTTTTTTTAGCCTCTGAGCCCAACCTAAAGATACGATCCAGACTGAAGCAGAAAGTGGCAGAAAGGAGAAGCAGCCCGATGCTAAAGAGAAGAGAAGGAAACATTATGACTCCGTACAAGAAGCGGGCTCTGGAGCTCATGGGTATGCCTCGCTGTAACGCCAGTTTTAACTAAACAAAACTTTTCTTCACTTTTGCTACACATCTGAATATTACTTATATAATCTTATAATCTCTTGTTTAATTTCATTTTACCCTCGTAAAACAGAAAAATAAGCATATAAATGATCAAACTCCTTGTTATTTCACAGATTCTGCTCCAACCAACAGTGCCCCCGGCTCTGGCCCCAGCTCCCCCATAGGGGCCTCCAGTGCCTTGGGGGCTGAAAATGGACCCTCCTCTCTGCCCACTACTACAAAAACTGAGGTAAGTGTATACAATTGCATGAAAACAAAATAAAGCAGAACAAGCAAAAACTTAAATATCAAAACATTTTTGTCAGGACTCTGGATTGTTATGTTTTCTTCTGCTGGCAGGTATAAAAAAGTTATTACTGTTCTCTGCCTGGTATTTTAACTGTATGCTGAGCTCTGTCTAATGAATGCAGTACACAGAAAATTATATCATAATACCTGGAGTTGTGTCAATGCTTACCAACCAGGATACTCAAAGTGCTTTACAACACAGTTTGTGCCCTCATTTACCCATCAACACATGTATTTATTCAGCACTCTAATACATCTCTGCAAAACTAATCTGATTTTTTATTTATTTTATTTCTAAAGAGACTAATTAGTGCGTTATCACATTCATACACGGATAGAACACACAACGAGGGGTTCAGTGTTTAACCCGGGGACATGTGATTTCAAAGTGGTGGAATCGACTCTGCAACTCCCTCATTGGAGAACGACTAAACCACTCAGCCACAGCCACCCTTTTGTGTTTTGGCTGGTTGTGCATATCTCACTTTTTATATAAATAAAAAATGTAATGTATACATGTTGCATATCTAAAACGGAAAGAGCAACTAGTCAGAATCTGCAAATATATATATATATATATATTTTTATTTTTATGTCGGCTGCTTCCTTCATCAGGAGTCGCCACAGCAAAGTACTTGCATGAAGACTTGGCGATTGTTTTGACGCTGGATGCGCTTCCTGACACAACCACAGTGCACCGAGCTACCACAGCCCTCTGTGTGGAGCAGAGAGCTGACCTCTAGGGTGCTCGGAAGAGCAGATGGTCAGGGTTAAGGACCTTGCTCAAGGGCCCAGAGTGGAGCAAACGAAGGTGGAGGCAGGTGTGGGTGTTTCACCTTTCCCACCCACATTTTGATGTTGTTGGTCCGGGGAATTGAACTGGTGACCTTCCGATCACAGCTCCACCTTCTCTAACCTCTGCACCACCAAAACAAATCATTAGTGCGGTTTCTAAACCAACATTAAACCCACTAAAAGCAGCTAAACATCAAATGCTGAGTTTTGTTTGTGTATGATGGATGTGCTTGGTGTAGGGCTCTTCTTGTGGTGACAGTCCTGCTGCTGTGACACCTACTGTTTAGAACTGCACTGAACGCTGCAACAGCTTGGTTGACGTCACAACTAAATTACACCAAGACCAATGCTCAAGTATAGTCTCAACTTTACACTCTGCTGAAAATGACTTCCCACATCTTGGTCTGTATGATTTTATAACTACTGTTTACCCTCATAAAACAGGCCTATACTTAAAATTAAAGACTCGGGCATCCAAATGTTGAAAGACACAGCTGCGAAGATTATATCAGATACCGAAAGAAGTTCTTAAAGCATAAAAAACAAACAAAAAAAAAACAACTTTTGCTTAACTACAATATTATATTTCTGTAATTTGCTTGGCTGCTTGTTCTGAGGCGTTTCTCAGTGGGTTCATGGCTGAGTTACTGACCAAAACTCCCTTCAGGCTGAGCTCATGAAGCAGACCGTTATAGAATGTGGCTGATACGACATCTCCGAACATTCTTAACAGAGCAGCTGTGTTTGCCTTAACCATTGTTGTTTACCCTCTCAGGGACCTCCAGTGACACAGAGAAAGGAGAGATGCCCTGACACTGGGCTGAAGGTTGATGCATAGGGAGACAGAAGAAATGTGGATTTTAATTGCTATCCCAGGCACTGGTAGCCAAAGACACCCATGTGCTAACAACATAAACACACAAGATTGCTGTTGTGTCGGCCCAAGCTGAGACTCATGAAAGTCACTGGTTCATGCTCATGGACCCCATGCCTCTTCCAAAAGCAAGGCATGTTTGTGTACCGTTACATTAGGTATCCTTTTTCAGAGGGAACTGGTCCCTCAGGTCAAATATGGGCCGGATATCCCCGTACAGGTCACTGAGTACTGGTAGGGGCTGGAAGGATAAACATGGCTGTTCCAAAACCACATGCTGCTCCACTGCTCTGCTGGGTACAGGAAGTATGCCCCAGTGCTGATGTGCTCTGAGAGTTAGCCTGAGGGTGGGGTCTGGGGGAGGCAGTAAGCCAAGGGTTAAAGAGCTGTGGAAGGAGCTGTAGATTAGAACATTTTCAGTTTTATTATGTTTCAGCCACAAAGTTACCACTTTGTTGGTGACGTACTGCCTTTAAGTTTTGTACTTTTCCGTTTACAGAACGCGAGAAGGACTGTTGTTCATCATCATAATGTATTTACCATATTTTTCAGACTATAAGGCGCATTAAGCGAAACAAAACAGTCAGATAAGTCAAACTTTATTCAACTCATTCACGATAACTCTCAACATTGTTCAGTTGTACCACATAAAATCGGTTCGAGGTCAGTAAGCACAACCAGATCTAATACGTAAGGTGTGCCGGATTATACAGCTCACTGTCAATTTTTGAGCAAATTAAAGGATTTTAAGTGCGACTTATAGTCTGAAAAACATGGTATACTCATGCCATTGATCATGCCGCCTTTGAAATTGGCCTTAAATCTGCCATCCCCTCTTAAATCTGCCTTTCTTGCTTTGTCCTGCATGTTTGATGTAGAGATGGCCTTCCCAGCCAAGATTATTTCGACCCGAGGACTCCGTGTCCATGCTGAGCTTATACACATCGCCGTCTTTACCCAACATCTCCTTCGGACTTTCAACTGCATCTGCACCAATTAGTGTGAGTACAACTTCTGCAGACTTTGATACATGAAATCTCACCATGTCCAACAGTGTAGTCATTCAATGGGTTTTCATCTCAGTGTGCGAGCCAAACTTGCCATCAGTGGCTGTCTGGAATCTCCCAATGAGCACAGGTCACTGACCTATGGCCCCAAATGATTTTATTGGCCTTAGAAAAATATTGTTTTGCAGTGTCTTGTGTCAGCCTTGCTTTTATCCTCCCCCCATTTACCTCATTTATCATAGCTTTTAAAAAGTCCAAGTGCTCTCAAGTGCAAGCCCTGATAACACTGCACATGATTTATCATCTTTTAGCTCACCGGCACATTCCACCGAGACCTGCTTCGTCAACTTTTAACCACTGATGGTCTCTGTCACATTATGTTGTTTTCTTAATGAGAATGGTTATATTCAACCACTAAAGTGGTTTTTTTTTTTTTTTTTTTTTTTTTTTTTTTTAGCATTTAATAATAATAATAATGTTTATTTTACCATGTATAGGTCAAACAATTACCAGTTCTCATTTGCAATGATGATCTGGTCAATTTAGAATTTAGAAGCAATTATTATAAGACATAGTAATTTAACATTTTTTTTCTTCTTTTAGACTGCCATGGGGTTAAAAGACAGATCAACAGAAGTCAAACATGGCTTGCCTGGGCACCTGCTGGGCCCTGTGCCCCTTCCAACCAGCCTGGAGTCCAAGGTGAGCCCCAGTCATCAGGCTCTCCTGCAACACCTCCTTCAAAAGGAACAAATAAGGCAGCAGAAGATGATCTCCTCTGGTAAGATGGTCACATGCTGTTGTTTTTTTTTAATCTGTGAATGCGACTGTTTTACCCAAAGATCTTAGGAAAACGTGACAAAAGTTTATTTTCCTCTCCAAAGGTCAAGGCTCTGTGCCGTCCCACCCTCATTCTCCGCTGGCCATGAAGGATCGTTCCACCAGCAGTCGTCCTAAGCTACCAAAACACCGACCCTTGAACAGAACCCAGTCGGCGCCTCTGCCTCAGAACACGCTGGCCCAACTTGTCATCCAGCAGCAACACCAGCACTTCCTGGAGAAACAGAAACAGTATCAGCAGCAGGTCCACATAAATAAGGTATAATGCTTGGCTTTGAAGGATTTGGCTTTCAAATTGCTTTTCACAATGTTCTGTGTTTCTTTTTTTTTTGTTTTTTGTTCTCATGAGAATATATTTGACTGCAGGAAGTTATAGTTTTAAGTACACAAATCTAGTTCTATTTATATCCCTCTGTAAAAGCATCTGTGGCCACTTAAGTTGAGACCTACAGTCTGTCCCACCTCCTCAAATCCTAATGTTATTTCTGCAAACCAAAGGCCTTCTGCCTGACTTCAAATGGGAAAGAAATCCTTCCTCTGCACTAATTCTGTTATCATAGCTTGAGGCATCAGTGCTGTTCACATGCTAACGCTGGGAAATTTAATTCATCTTTGTTTAAATGAGGAAAAAAAAAAGTGCCCAGAATGCATTTTGTTCCCTTTGTGGCAATATTTGTGTTCCTGTGAGCTGGCCAAGGTGACCTGGCTGTGCACAGACTGTCGTTATTTTGGTGAGCGATGTGTGTGATGTGGCGGACGCATTGAAAGGCGGCATTGTGAGCTTACACACTGATGTGTCCCAGCGTTGGGTCCTGACAGAGCCGGGGGAACCACTGAGCACGTCAGACCTAGAAGTAATAAAAAGTGAGAAGCACTCTTGAGCAGGACATCCAGTACAGATGTGCCTTTAAAAATCCTTTCTGCATCATTACCTTTATGATTAGCTGCAATTATTAAAAAATCGAACTCATGATAGTTTGGAAATAATGTCAACAGGTCCTTTGGAAACATTTTAACAGGCCTTGCTCTGATCACTCAAGCCAATGAGATTGTGAGTAAAGCCTCTTTAAGTGTCGGTTATAAATGGCCACTAATCAGGGATGAGCCTTTAGAGTTTATTGAGAGGGAGCTCTGAAACATTGCCCTAATTAATTTCCAAGCATCGGCTTTTCTACGGTTGTTTTTAAACACCCTTTGATTCTTTTTTCCTTTTCCATTGCGTCCAAACGTAGGGGTGGGGGGAAGTAATGACAATACAAGTGCTAAGGGATTGCTAAAAAGGCTAATTCCTAAAGCTGAAAGGATATTTATATAAGGCCTACATATGTTGGTTACCAGCTGACAGGAAGAACCCTGATTTGGAGCCCTCTTGTGGGCAAATGCCCTCTTCTTGGCATTTCTATATGTATTTCTCTCCCTATAATGTTCTTTAGTCAGGAGGAGAGAAATAATCCCCCTCCACTAATTCTGGATAGGCAGATGTAGATGTACATCCTCTGACAGCTTACTGAGACATTACTGCATACGTTTCAGCTTTCATGGTAGAAAGTGAAGAACGACTTGCACAGTACTGCACGCGCGTCAGCTGAACATCAGTAAACTTTGATGAAGAAGGCGCTTAATTTAAAACTTCTTTTTTAAATTGACAAATCATTTTCCTCTGCATGTGAACAATGGCACCAGTAATTACTAAATTTAATCCTAATTCTTTGGGGATAAAACTTTATATAGCACAGCTTTGAAAAACCTTTAATTTGGAGAACTTTGTCAGTAACACTGTCAGAAAGGTGCTGTTTGTCCTAAACTATCAGTGCATTAGCTCATGGATCTAATATAAGAGATAACAAATGCTGTTGATCAAAAACGGTATTGTGTTAGCGTTTTTGTTGATTTAAAAAAGGCCTTTGACACTAATGACCACACCATTCTCCTTGAAAAACTGAATAAATATGGAATTAGAGGATTAACACTACAGTGGGTATCTAGTTAACTGAATAATAGGAGACAGTTTGTACAGGTAAACAATGTAAGATCTGAATTTTACGTTAATGGATGTGGAGTTCCTCAGGGCTCTGTGTTGGGAGCAAAGTTGTTTATTTTGTCTGTGAATTGTCTGCTTGATGTGTCAGGGCTTTTGAAGTGTGTTTTATTTGCAGATGATACCACATTTTTTTGTTCAGGTGGAGATATTGAACGGATGTTAGAGATGATACAGGCAGAATTCATAAAAATAAAGACTTGGTTCCAACTTAATATGTTATCATTAAATTTGGAAAAAACAAACTACATGATATTTAGTAATAGAAGTAAAATTATTGACGTCCCATTTTAAATTGACAGTATTGATATAGAGTTAATTAAATAAAATTTGGGGGTGTCGTTATTGATGAGAAGCTGACATGGAAATCTCATAAATTACTTAAGAATAAAAATAACAACATCAGTTGCATTACTGTATAAAGTAAAATTGTTTTTGAATGACAAAGCTTTGTATATATTGTATAATGTAATGATTGTTCCATATTTAATCTATCGTACTGAAGTTTGGGAAAAGCATGCAAAGCAATTACAAACCCTATTGTCATTTTACAAAAAAGAGCTATAAGTATTATTAGTAGGAAGTGCATTGGTCACCCAACAAATATATTATTTCATCAGTTGAAATTATTAAAATTTTATGATTTGGTTAAATATAGTATTTTACAAGTCATGTATAAAGCTCATAAAAATATTACTCCCAAATATTAATTTAAAATTTGTTGAAAAAGAGAGTCATTATAACCTGAAGGGAATGGAAATGTTTGTAAAACCTCCATTTAGAACTAGTCTGTGTTGTAATTCAGGGAATAGGACTGTGGAATTGTCTCAATATTACCATAAAAATGTCTAAAACAATTTATATGTTTAAAAAGATGATTAAGTTGAAATTGTTTGGAAAGTATGATGTGAAGAATGTCCAATGTGTTCTGTTTTCGCTTTGGGGATTGTTCAAGTCTGAGTTGTTGTTTGTAGTTATTTTATATTTTTCTTAAATAAGGGGCAGATAAGAATTTTTGTCTTTTTTCTGCACCCTTTTCATCCAATGTTTTTTGTTTGTTTGTTTGTTTTGATGAATGTGTTTTGTTTCTTTCTTTCTTTTAAATTAATAAATCAACACACAATTTTTCACCAGTTATAACATTGAAAAAAAAAAGATTATATGCACAGGATCTTGTCATTAATGGGGTGCTGATGTGTTTTGCAGCTGTTGTCCAAGTCCATCGAGCAGCTACGTCAGCCCAACGCACACCTGCAAGAGTCAGAGGAGGAGCAGGAGGAGCAGCAGAAAGAGGAGATGGAGAGCATGCAGGAGGACAGGCTGCCCCCTGCAGGAGTCATCCGGATGCACACGTTCAGCAGCAGCAGCAGCAGCAGCGGGGGCTCGAGCAGCGAGCTCCCAGATGCTCACTGTGGGGTCATCAAGGTGAAGGAAGAGCCAGCTGATAGCGAGGACGAGGCTCTGACCAATCAGCGCTTGGAGACTGAGCCGAACACCTATCTGCACCAGGTCAAAGGGAGACTGGTGATAAGAGCCATGATCTGAGGAGGGTTCAAACATCCCAAATGACCCCCCCCCCCCCCCCACACACACACATCAGAACTGATCCATTAGGCCAGCCAACACCCTCAGTTCACCTCTTCAGACTTTCTGTTTGTGATCTTTGTGTAGTGATCTCTGTATAAAATGTTTCTTTTGTGTACATATTTAAAAAAACAAAACCATTAGGTCATTCATTTTAGGAGCTGCTACTGTATGTTTCTTTGAGTCTGCTGAACTGAAAACAAAAAGGAAAGGAAAACATGTATGTACATATTCTGTGACTTTAGCATCAAAAAGGGTTTCTAGAGGGAAGCTATAGCAGGCGTACAACTTTGATGACCCTCCTCATGTTCCCACTATGGACGTTTTTTTGCTCCTGTATCTAATTCTTGACTGAGAATTTTCAGTCTTTGTTGTTTGTTAAGGAAATTAAAACACTATATGTACTTAATTTTATTTGATTTTTCTTTTATTGGATAACTGTGACAACGATCACCGTTTCACTGGTCTCGGAGTCGAAGCGACAAACATCTGTCTTCGAGGGACCGCACACTTTCAAACAGCAATTTGAGCTAGGAGTGATATTACCACTCGACTCAGGTCTGATGCTCACGGAAATTTGTGAGGGATGATGAAGGCCTAAAAATCCCTGCTTAGGTGTGCTGGCATCTTCCAACGCACACTCCACGAATCCATCCCACTCTCGCTGTCTCTCTCTCTCTCAAAGCAAACCCAGAGCATTAAGCTCCTCTCCTCTCACCCTCTGGGTCTGAATCAAAGCTCGGTGGAGCTTTCAGCAGAGGAGTCAGACAGAGAGAAAGAAAGAGAGAGGGTCGGGCAGGAAATGCCTTCTCCAAGCCAGGAGTTGGAGTGATTCATGTGTGCAGGAATGCTGAGAGAGGAGGACCTAGTGTTGGAGGAGTCCAAGGGGCCAGGCTCGAGAATTGATTTACTGTCAAGGCGAATTACAAAGTGAGTGGGGATATGGTTAAGGGACTCCTTTTTAAAAAAAGGGAATCATTTCCTTTGTATTCCCTGGTGGCATGCTTACCTCAACACACAGGTTTGATGTTACTGAAGGAAAGAAAAGAAGAAGGGACCTTGTTTTGTGATCCCGTTTTTCCCTTAAAGAAGTGCCGGTTGCAACATGTAAAGTTTGTCTTAAAGTGATCAGTCAAATGTATTACACAGTCCTAAACCTTCCTGTTTGTACCGTCAACTAAATGTCACAAACTCCCCCAACGAAAATCCTGTTGTAAAGTTTTGTGTTTGGATCCATGTTTGTCTATTGTACAGTCAGATTGTCCAGTTTTACTGTTTTTAGTGTAAGTAAACCCAATTCGAACAATGCGAGTCTTGTTCTCTTGCTCCTTTGATTTGGTTATAATGAGAAGCTCTTTGCCAGTGGGGAGGGGGGGAAGGTGGCGGGTGGAGTGAGATGGGGAGGGGTATTTTTATGCTGTGGTTTGTTCGCAGTTTGCATTTCTTCTCTTTTGTTGCCTTGCGTGATAAATCGTTTTTTTTTTTCTTTTTCTTTTTTAAATAAAGTTAATTCACCTCTGAGGTTCTTGCGCCTTTGACTTTTCTCTCCTCTCTCGTTCTTATTAAGAAGCAAAACAATAAAAAATCACAGCGTTCTGAATCATTTTAAATAAATGGTACTGTTTAAATCGTTACTTGCCTTTCCCACAAGGGGTTTCTGCGAGCCAGCTGTTTTGCTTTCAGGAGAAATATATGTAAGCCTCCAAAGGAGAGCTTAAGGGACTTTAAACCATTGCTTTGATGTGAACAAGCCTGGCTTCGTGTGAAAAGATTGGAGCACTCGGGATCAGGTGAGCGGGTAATATACGACTTGCATGAATACTTTCAAACTGAGCTCAAGCAATTTCACAGCAAGATTATTCCATGGGAGTTTCCTATATGCACTTAAAGATGAGACTTGGAGAATTCACTCGTCGTCTAAAGTTTCTGCAAACTCCAAGAAGTTTTTGGACAACACTTAAGTTGGAAGATCTACTTGGTGGCCTCATTACTGCTTGAGGACTTGGTTGGACTTTCTGCTGCAGAGAAAAGCACATTAAATCCTAAAATGCTCAAACCTTCATGATTACACCACAAGATTCTTCACAGAGGCGTAGAGTTACTTCAAATTAGGAAGTATTTTACTTGAATTGGACACTGCTTCTTTCTTAAGTAGGTTCAATCTGTCTCAGGCTTCTGGCTCTTGTGATTTGAAATGAACTGTTACACACGGAGGGAGAAAAAAATAAAAATAACGAAGCACAAATCCATCTGCGCTGCCCCTCCTCAGCTGCCCACAGAGTCAGTTGTAAAAGCAAACAAGCAATTTTAAAAGGTGCAGGGAAGTAAGAAGGATGCAAGCCAACTCACTCTAAATGAAAAAAGTTATAGTGAGACCTGAGTTTTATCACCTACAGTCTTATAAAATGGGTATTTTTATGCATTCACGCATGCAGCAATGCTTGGTCATAAAAAATGATCAACACCACATTGTTGCCTTAGACATCATAAAATAATGTACTGCACTTGACAAAATCATGTATCTGAAATAAAACACCCAGAAACAAAACATTCTCAATTTAGAGTCTCTTCATAAACATTTCCATACATGGTCTGTAATGTTCACAAATAATTCCATGAATCGCTGATCAAATATTTAACTTAAACTTTCAATAAGTGATAAATGGATGGACTTTTACAACATATTAACTTCTAAATCCCACTTCAAAATGGCTTTCACAGCAAATCACACTTAATACAAACAAAAAGGCTATAATTCAGTTAATATTACAGATATGCTTGTAAAGTGTGGTGTGGTAGTAGCTGAGACTGATCTCCAGCTTGTACTTTCAGTGCTCACTGAGTGAGAAAGATCCCTGTTTAGGACTTTGCCAATAACTATTTGAATCAACTCTCGCTGTCTGTCAGCAAAATATCCAATCAACCACAGAATGGATTTTAATGAAACGTTCATAAAGCTATCATGGGATGTACCTCTACAGCTGATGATCTGTATAACTCCACCTCACTCATGATGACTGACACCGCCAGCTGACCTTACAAAACACAAACATGGCTGCACCTCAACCAATCTGAGCTCTTGGTGTGATAGTAGCTGACAATCATCACCAACAAAGTCCGTCTTTAGTCATTGTTTTAAACTTTGGCATTGACTTTTAGTTCTGTTAGTGTGTTAGCAAAATAATTCATGAACCAATGCATGCATTTCAATGGCAGTCAGAAAATATTAATTGGATGCACATCTTAAACTGAATACATTTTGGTTGTCAACCCAATTCAAGATGATCAGCACAGCTAATTGACTTTGTCAACATAAACGTGTCTATAGCTCGATGAATGTTACAGATGTTGATGCTTCTTCTTTTGGTTGCTGCCTTCCTTGGGTCACCACAGCAACCTAACTCGCACAAGAACTTGATGATTGTTTTTACGCCGGATCCCCTAATCCTGACACAACCACAGACCACCGAGCTACCGCAGCCCTCTGTGTGGAGCAGAGAGCTGCTATCTAGGGTACCTGGGGGAGCAGATGGTGGGGGTTAAGGGCCTTGCTCAAGGGCCAAGAGTGGGACAAATGAGGCTGGAGGCAGATGTGGGTGCTTCAGCTATCCCACCCACATTTTGATGTTGTCGGTACCAGGAGTTGAACCAGCGATCTTCCGATAACAGGCTCACATTCTCTAAACTCTGCGCCTCCAATCCCACAGATATTATGGGATACGGAGCTACAATTTGCTAAAACACTGGCAATAAATGTGACAAAAAATGCATTCCTTTAAGAAATGTTGTTATTTTAGCATCACATTGTAAGAATTTGATAAGACAATTTTAATTTTTTTCTTTCCAAATACATAATTTCAGCTGAAACAACTTCAGAGCCTCCTCTGTTGTATTTAGATCTTAGAACGGTCTGGACTGCATGGCAGTTCACTGGATTCTTTCACTTCATTCTGGTGCTGTTGCAGTCCAAAACATCTAATAATATACTGATGAAGTCATTTTCTCTGGAAAATGTTGGACCTGCAGGATCACTGAGACTTTCACACCTGCCTCTGTTGTGCACCAGTTGTGAGCTGATGGTCCTTCATTTTTATTGACTGAAGGAAACAAAGCCCATAATAATAAAAAATACATCTTTACCTCAGCCCATTTTTAAAAAGTTTGATTTTCAAATTCTTTCTCTCTTATGTTTTAGAGTTAACTCACTCACTCATGTTCGGGCTGCTGTTGTTATATGTCATATTGTTTTTCATTGTTAGTGTTTGGCATATATTTTAGATCTTTTGGCATACCATCTGGCATTTGTTTTAGCGTTTATCTTGGTGTATATCTTAGATCCTTATTTACAGTTTTTTTTTATACTTTACATTTTAATATTTTGGGTGTAAGTGGGACCCTGTGTAGATAATTTCATTCCATCTCATGTACCACATGAGATTGTAATGACAATAAAGTTTACTTGAACTTGATTGAACTGCTCTAGTATGCATGGTGACAAAGTACATTATGGTCATTAGAGGTGTGTATCAGTCCATATTTCAACCAGAACCTACAGAATCATGTTCGATTTTGGCCCGTTTAATTTCCTCTGTTTTTACTCAGTCCTGTTTATTCAGAAAATGGTAAAATTTACCCTATATATTTTTTTCATATTTAGACTTAGAACGATTAAAATTAGCATTTTTAATTTTTTCCAGCACATTTCCTCACATATAGGTAAACTTCTCAATATCATTAATGGTAAAATCCCAATATTTTCAGATATTTTTAAAACATCAAATCCCAGCAAATGTTGCTAGTTGAAAAAATGGTTTATTTACTACAAAGTATTTTTCACAGCTTTTCTACTTTATTGTTTTCATGTCCCAAGGTTGCTGGAAATTTGTCGACTAAAGATGATAATGATCTTTACAAAAATCTCATTTTGAATTGTTTTGTAGTATTTTCATTCACAGAAACATTTTAAAACTTTTTAAATAATAGTTCTTTTTTTTTTTTTTTGCATTTTGCACAACATTCCTGTTTGCTTTTGGGTAGAAAGTACACTAAGTATTTCACTTTGAAATGACAAATCTTTGACATTTTGTGAGTCATTGTTTGCTTCTCTGAATCATCTCTTACTTAGTCATGTGAAACCTTAAAAAAGTTCTGTTTTTACATTTCTGTTTTGTTGTCCGCTGCTGACGAATGTTCTTACAGAGTTTCTGAACTTTGTTGAAACGACACTATGCAACTGACAGCCATACTTTTATAAATTATTATATGAGCCCAAACTGCTGTACAGTCAAAATAAATGGAGTAAACACTTGTGCTCAC